CTCTATATATATATATATATATATATATATATATATATATATATATATATATATATATATATATATAGGGAATAGGCAATCAGGGAGACTGCTTAAAGGGAAGCCAAGTTCAAGAGCTCCTTCATGTGTAGGATCTGGAGAAGGGTTGGACCATTAAGGCCATGAGTACAGTCTTACAGAGTAGAGTGCCCAATTCAGGGAAACAAAATGGAGTCTTTAAGAAAGCAACTCAAATGAAAATCGAGGAAAAAACTTTACCTAGGTTGTTGTGGCCCCAAAGAAAAAAATGTGTAGATATTATGCCATATTTTATACTTGCACAAGATTCGTATAAAATGTACAGACAGTAGTTTAAATCTATATACAGTTACATAATATTGCCATGTAAAGATCAACTATATGCACACCATCTACACTATGTTTGGTTCAAGCAATTTGAAGGGGAAGAGAAAACATAATGAGATGGAAAACAATTTTTTTGGTTTGGTTGGAGAGGAAAAGAAAATAAGGAGGCAAAATGAACTAAGGGTATAGAAAATAAAATTCTTCCCATTTTGGTGAGGAAAATGAGAGAAAACCATTTTCTTTTCTTGTTCTTCCTAATTCCTTGAACCAAACATAGTGTTAGAAATACAACTGCTATAAAAGAAATGAAAATTTGAACTTGAAATGAAACAAAAGTGAATAATAGTTTCCACACGATGACTCTGATAAAGTCTAGTAGCATGAAGCAACAACACTCATAATATTCCAATACTCCTTGTGAGCGAAATGTGTTTTCCAACGCTACTTGGGTTTAAGTTAGAATTCAGGGACATTATTTCTATCCACAACAATACAGCAATTAAGATGAACTATCTGAAAAGCAATGCTTGCACTTGTACAGAGAAATAAATAAAAGTATTTCTTCCCATTCAAATCCTTCACTGATCTCCATCTAAGTGCATACCAAACAAGTTTAATCGATCATCGGCATGACCTCTGTGACTTCAATTTTACATCTTCTCATGGATAAACCGGCGCCAATGCCGAAAAGAGAGCAAAAAGATAAATCCAAATGGGGGATTAAGCCATTCAATCATGAAGCATTATAGCGGCGATTGGGATTTGGAAACAAAAGTTTTTTTTGGATCAAGGAAGAGAAACGAAAATCTCACATGATGGAGCTTGGAGAATTTCGGATCTGATGAGCTTGATGAGAGATCGGAGTGCGGGGCTAATCCGATCTCGTGTCCTGCACCGAGCTTTTAGGTCACTGGAATGACAAAAAAAAATTGTGCGCGCTGTCGTGTCTTCCTAAAATTTGTATTGAGCACCCCAAATGTACACCGCCCTCTTTTCCTACACACATTTTTATTTGATTTTTATTTACTAATTTTTTTTGAATTTTTTTGCCTTTTTTAGTGGACAAGGAGGGGGTGGGGGACATTTGGGGTACACCTTTGGTGTACCCCTAGCATTTTTCATTTGTATTTCTTGCGGGTAGCTGAGATGCTCGGGAAGAGTGTTGAGCCACTTTCAACAAATAAATGGCACTTCATGGTGGGTGATGATGACTAATGAAAGGCATGTCAATGGGTTGGGTCGGGTTCGGGACAATTGATAGGACCTCTATCCTTTTTTAAAAATTGATTTTGACATGTACTCATTTATTCGATGGGTCTTAAAGTTTAATCTTAGATTTGGACCCATTAAGTTTTTGTATTGGATCTAATGGTATAAATCATCGATTGGTATATCGTTTTTAGTCGGGCAAAAACAATAAACTAGTCTAAAAAAATACACCAAAATATAAACAGGGGGATTTTGACGTAGAAACCCAAATCGGGAGAAAACCACGGGCCTTTTTTGGCGGTACTGTTAAGAGTATCTCACATCGGAAACGTGTGAGTAAAATAATCCGGTATATAAGCCCTTGAGTTAAACTAACTAATCGATTGGATTCAATCTTTTAATGTGGTTCAACCCAAGTGTCTTATTACCCAATCCAGTTATCCATACCCATCCTAAATTCTATCATGGTATCAGAGCAGGTCTGGTCCGGGTTTGATTGTTCCTGGTTGTTTGGATGTGGGTTTAGCAAAAATGAGCTACCCATCTGTGGTTTGGGCTGAGTTGGCTAAAAAGAGATTGAGATGCCACCGCCCGTTGTGTGGGCTAGCTATAAGAGATTGAGATGGTAGACACGTTTGTCCAAGTGCTAACTAGGCCAGGCTAGTTACCACTTGTGGGTGAGTGTTGGAGTTCCCACATCGAAAAATAAAGATGAGTATCACTTGCATATATTGAAGGGTGAAGCCCTACCTATCAGCTTAAGCTTTTGGGTTAGAATTGTGGATCCCGACTTTATATGCAAGTGGTTAATTTTACCCGACACTCTATCCGTTGGTATCGGAGCAGGTTTTGGCCTACCTCGTTTGTCAAGGTGTCTGTCTAGACGTTAATTCCTAGCGGCCCGTTTGTCTTTAGCCCAGTTGTCCGTATGGAGTATGTATCCAACAGCATGTGGCCCGTTTAACATGATTGCTCGTCTGGAAGTCCATACCCAGCGGCTCGTGGTCCTTTAGGTGTTGGCGCTAAAAAAAAATCAAGGGAATGGGAGTTCATTTGCAAGTGGTCAACCGGTTAGATTCAAAATGGCCCGGTTGTCCACTTGAGGAGGAGTGTTAAGAGTATCCCACATCGGAAACGTGTGAGTAAAATAATCCGGTATATAAGCCCTTGAGTTAAACTAACTAATCGATTGGATTCAATCTTTTAATGTGGTTCAACCCAAGTGTCTTATTACCCAATCAGTTATCCATACCCCATCCTAAATTCTATCAGGTACCTTGCCAACGGGGGGGATTTTATTAATATCGTGGGTGTGTAAACGGTACATTATTTAGGTTGGGAAGCCATTAATAGAGTTTTTGAGCTCTTGAAGAAGAAGAAAAATACACACTATTAGGGCAATTAGGGCAACCCTCCTTTTATATGGAAGGAGGAAAGAATATTCGGGGAATATTCTCTTATAATTGGGAAATGTGGGTCGTGCCACGTATTATTTCCCATCAAAAAGTCCTCCAGTTTTTTAAGTTGTGAGAATCATCAACTTAAAAAAGTAAACAAGTCATCCGAGTGCTATCTTCAGTCTTCTACTTTGGATTCTTAACCGGTTGATATTATTGCTAGTCCCTTCGAGTCTTCATTAATTCTCTAATTTCTTGAATCAGAAGTTTTTCCTGCAAAAAATAATATGTATAACATTTTTTTGACCGGCCTATGCCGTGCTCAAAAAATTATTATTTTTACCAAGGAGCTCGGTGTTAGGGTGATTAAATTTCGCGCGAATAATTATCGTAACAAGAGCAATGTGAGTTCGATAAAGCAATGATGCTTCGAATAGTTACACGACACCGGAGTTAGTACGATGAAGCGACGGTGCCTCAAATAGTTATTTCGTCGATATCGATGTTAGTATGAATAAGTAACCGATATAGTAGCTTTGTTGAAGATCAGTGTTAGCTCGGCTGACTGATGTAAATATCGTCATGTTTCGCGGAGACCATCTTCGATAAAAGTGCCTCAGATAGAGGGCTTAAATGAATCGGGTGTCCCCGATATGAGCTCAGCTCACTTTTTTGTTGAAACCGATGTGCAATCGGTGTACCCAATTCGATTGGGCTCAGCCTCGTTAGAAAATGTGTGCAAGAACGGTGTTCGACTAGGCCACATATTTTCTTTATTATACTGAGCAAGACAGTAACCAGCGTGCCAGGCCTGTGTCTCAGTATTCCTCTAAGATAATGCTGCTGGACGGGCCAGATCAACATTGGAGAATTAACCATGTCGGATGGTTTCAAGCCCTCTCCAGGGCCCAAAATGCACCCTTCTTCCAGGGCCCCCTCTTTCGGGTGATTAAGTCTTTTAATGGCCCTTTGATGTTTACTATCTCGGGAAGGCTTTAGCTCACCCTCCCGTTCAAGTCTTCCCTAAGAAGGGGGAATCCGATCCGGTCGGAGTAGGATGCATTGCGGTGAACGATCCTTTTCTATTTCTTTTAATGGGCATCTTTTAGTCCCCAATCAATTTGACGGTTTCAGCTGACTCCCCAATACCGGTCAAACCTCATGAGCCCGTGTAAGTACGGTTCGAACCCTCTTCCAGGTCTAGCCTTCTTGCAGGCATACCCCTTATCCGGGGCCCCTCTTCCGGATTTATATTTTTTTTATTATACTGAGCAAGATCAGTGTAGTAACCAGTGTGCCAGGTCCGGGCCTGTGTCTCAGTCTTCCATAAAGATTTGTTGAAACAGAGTCGCCAGCTGTGCACCCAATCCAATTTTGCTGATTTTTTGTAAGACCTCGCACCACATTTTCACCATCCAAGATTCACTCTTTTTTAGTAGATATGGATAATGCTTGAAGGAATCAATAATGGCCCCACCATGTGGCTCCCTATTTTTGCTCCCCATGACTATTCGTACTTTTTGGCAAGTAGACACCCTTATTTGTTTGATTCTTCATAGATGGGAAGGAGACCCATCAACTCATGATATTGTATTGTCTTTATTTTTTTCGCCAATTGCCTTGTGCTCCTTTCATTTGTAATCTTCTTCTTGGAAAAAATCAATATGTGGAATCCAATGAGAGATGACTTGCCGTAGAATAGTGGTGCGGATGAATTTAGATGCTACGGTCCTTTCTGTCAGCGGCGAACAAGCCCCAAAACTAGCGCGGCAATGACGGATGTAGGAACGACCGTCAATTTGAATAGCAGCGACGTTGGTGGCTAGCTCCTGCAGTGGCAACCGTTGAATTCAGCGGCCTTGGCTGTAATCTCGATGTCGCATCGCCGCAACAGTCCACTCCTACAGCGTCTGGAACAGTGGTGGTAGCAGAGGATTTTATTGGCGACTGCAAATCCGAGCCAAGTCCTATAGAGGTGGCACTGACTAACCTTTTGCATATGCTTTATCAAATCTGGAGCAAACAGCGGCAGACAACATTGCGGTGGCGGATGGAATTGAGGATAACAACATCGTCGACGGTGGCGATGCTTAACCGTCGGTATGGTGCACAATCCAACTCCTCCAATTGCGATGGTTACTGTGGACAAAACAGAGATGAAGCACCGTCCAAGTATGATTAAAGTGTGGTCAGAGACAAAAGGTTGAAGAATATGAGTTAAGCTTCTGCTCATTCTGGAATCAACACTCTAGTTTTTTTTTGCATAAGTATTGAGGCCTTGAATACTGCATCTTGGACGGACAGAGGTTTTAGATTGAAGCTTCTCTCTTTTTTTTTCTCTGATGAGGAAGATGGATGAATATAGTTACAACTTACATGGCTCTTTGTTCGGGTCCCACGGTCGGCGCCAAAATGATGGTGTAAATTATCGACCGGTATATCGTTTTTAGTCGGGCAAAAATGATAAACTAATCTAAAAAATACACCAAAATATAAACACGGGGATTTTGACGTGGAAACCCAAATCGGGAGAAAACCACGGGCCTTTTTTGGCGGTACCTTGCCAACGGGGGGAATTTTATTAATATCGGGGGGTGTGTACACGGTACATTATTTAGGCTGGGAAGCCATTAATGGAGCTTGTGAGAGCTCTTGAAGAAGAAGAAAAATACACACTATTCTAGAGAGAGAACAGAAGTGGGCAGAGGAGAGTGTAAAAATTGGCCTCCCTTTAACAATTAGGGCAACCCTCCTTTTATAGGGAATGAGGAAAGAATATTCGGGGAATATTCTCTTATTATTCCATTTTATTAAACAGGCCCTTGATTGTTCTTCGTAAATAATTGGGAAATGTGGGCCGAGCCACGTATTATTTCCCATCAGGATCGGTATACGCATATTAAAAATCGACGTCTTTTATTTTTTAATAATTGAAAAACAATTAGTGAAAATACTATAAATGAAAAATATTTCATTCAATACAATTAAAAATAAGACTAGTACGTTGCTGCAACAAAAATCGGCCTTCTTTACTAAAAACCTTTTTTAAAAAATCTTAGATTCGTAGTCGGTCTTCTTGTCACATTCATTTATTTTGCAAGAATGTTTTTTATAACATCATAGCTAATTCCAAACTATTTATTTTATACTATTGCATAAACCATTGTGTACATGCTTCTAATGTGGTGAAATAAATACAAATATATTTGGAAGTCACGCAACCAGTGTCAATTGGAAGTAGCAAAGAAGAGGAGTAGTGTTTTGTAATATTTAATATTATCTATTTATTTGACCAATA